TGCTGGGTGTTGCACACACACATGCAGGCTGTTGTGCTGGGTGTTGCACACACACATGCAGGCTGTTGCACACCCACGTGCTGGGTGTTGCACACACGCCGCTGCTCCCTGCCCCGCTCCCGCGCCGTCCATCCCCGCCGCGCCGTCCCCCTCGCAGCCCGTCCCGCGCGGCGGCTCGCTAGGTGGCAGCAAGGCCACGCGGCAGCAAGGTCCCCATGGCCGGGGCTCGCGGCGGCCCGGGGCAGCGGGGAGCCCGCGGGCAGGCCCCGAGCGCGGCTTGTGGCAGGAGCCCCGCCACAGGCAGCGGGCGGTGGCACTCTGGGGACAAGCGGGGGGCCCAACATGGACACTGGCGGGGGCCGGGCCCAGGGCTCGGCCGCTCGCCCTGCGGTCCCCCTTGCAGGTGGCGGCGGAGGGGCTGGGGATGAAGGTGCCGCCGCGGGCGGCCATGGCTACCGGCCCCGCCGCGGGGCCCTAACATGGCGCGAGGCGGGGGGAGGCGTTCGCGGGAGCAGCTACTTTGCCGTCCCGCGGCCGCCGTAGCGGATCCCGGAAGCGTCTCCATGGAGACGGGAGGAGCCCCGGCCCGGCTCGGGGCGCCATGGAGAAATACGAGCGGATCCGGGTGGTTGGGAGAGGGGCCTTCGGGTGAGGGCGCCGCCGAGACGGGGGGGGGGCACCCGGGCGGGGCCTCCGCGCCCTTCCCCGGCCCGGTTACCGTGGCGACGTGGCCCTCACCGGGGATGTGGCACCCGGGATGGTGTGCCTGTCACCATGGCAACACGCGTGTGTGTGTGCCTGTGGGGGGTGACACTAGGTCTGTGGGGGGGAGGCTACAGCCGTGTTGCTATGGCAACACTTGGGGGGGCAACCAGGCCTGTGGCACCCCGGGGTGGGGGTGCGGGTGCAGAGGGGGGTGTCTCTGTTACCATGGCAATCTGTGCGGGTGGGTGACAGGGTGGGGCGCACCCCCGCTGACGCCCCGCTGTCACCCCCGCAGCATCGTGCACCTGTGCCTGCGCAAGGCCGACCAGAAGCTCGTCATCCTCAAGCAGATCCCCGTGGAGCAGATGAGCAAGGACGAGCGGCTGGCGGCGCAGAACGAGTGCCAGGTGCTCAAGCTGCTCAGCCACCCCAACGTCATCGAGTACTACGAGAACTTCCTGGAGGACAAGGCGCTCATGATCGCCATGGAGTACGCGCCAGGTGGGCCCTGCCTCCCCCCGGGAATGCGGGACGTTCGGCTTTTTAGGGGGGTCGGGCTGCTGCGGAGCTGAGGGTTGTTCGGCTGAGGGCCCGGCTTGCTGCTCCTTGTCATGCTCCTTGCAAAGCTCCTCTGCAAAAAGCTTGCTGAGACAGGCAAGGAGTCCAGGCTTGGCCATTGTAAGCCCTGCATCTGCTGGTCATTTGAGAGGCAGAGATTTCTAACATCCTTGTCACCAGTAAGTGTGTCACCATCTGCCCTTGGTTTAGGTTTCACTTAGGTTTCCTTCTGGCAGCTCTTGGCCATGCTGTTGGTCTCACAGCTCCACTTGGGAAGCTATGATTTCTAAAGACATTTGCTGTGGGGGTTAATATAAAAGCAGTATTTGCATGAGACATCGCTAAAAGCTTTATTTGAGATCTGAGCCTGGACCTTCCCTCCTGGATGGGGCCTCTTAGTGCCACGTGGCCTTTTGGGCTGCAAGAATGTTCTGCAGAACAGGCTTATCTTGTTCTGCCATCGAGGTTTGTGTCCTGACAGGGCTCCAGGAGCTGTAATTTTAGCATTTCTTTTTTTTTCCCTGCTCTCTCAATATGTCAACAGCAACTTCTCTCTTGCTGTTTCTTCATCCCACCAACTGTGCTGCCGTTGTTGTGTGCGTGGTCTCGGGAGCACTGGAGGACATGCTGGGTGTCCCACCAGGACGTGCCACTTCCCGTGCACTCAGCCTCTTAAGAGGCTCTAAACCCCCTGCGTTTAGGTTGGGTTTGTGGTGCTTGTGCGGCCACTCTTTCCAACAACCCTCTGTTGTTTTGCAGGGGGGACGTTAGCGGAGTTTATCCACAAACGCTGTAACTCCTTGCTGGATGAGGACACCATCCTGCACTTCTTCGTGCAGATCCTCCTGGCTCTTCACCACGTGCACACCAAACAGATTCTGCACCGTGACCTCAAGACTCAGAACATCCTCTTGGACAAGCACCGCATGATTGTCAAGATCGGAGACTTTGGCATCTCCAAAATCTTGAGCAGCAAGAGCAAAGCCTACACGGTGGGTGTCCTGGCCTTGCAGGAGGGAAACTAATTCCCACTGTGGCAGCAAGGCTTGAAACTCTGGATTTGGCTCCCTGTTGTTTCTGGGAAGCTGCTGTACACAGCAAGATTGGACGTGGCGTAGAGGCCACATCAGTGTGGTGCTTCTTGCTCCTTGGGGGTTCATCCAGCATGATGTCCTCATGCCGAAGCTGCTTGCAGCTCTCAAGGCTGCAAGCAGGTGAAAAAGACCTGTCAGCTCAGGAGAGCATGAGGTGTCTGAGGCCCCTGCAGGGGACAGACAGGGTTTCTCTCAGTGGGAAGGGTGGTTTTTGCAGGCTGATGTGCCCCATACCTGGTGAGTGGGTTCTTGCTAGTGCCCTGCTGTCCTGCTTTGCCTTAATCTCTTTTCTTTCCCGAGACTTCAGGATCATTCACCATCAAAACTAATCTGGCTAGACATTTTTACCATATGCATCACAGTAAGTGCTGATTCTCTCAAGTGGGTAGGAGCAAAATCAGATATAATCTCTGTAGGTGAGAGGGATGTGTCCAGAAAGACAAATCCTCATCATTATTACTGAGATGAGATTGTCAGCCAGGCATTGACAGCAGGAACACATACCCAGCTCACCTGAGCTCTGATTAGTGGTGTTCTAGCCTCCCTGTGCACCAGGCTCTAGGCTGAGCCCTTCTCTTTCCACCTCCCTGTTCCCGTGACGCAGTCGTGCTGGATCTCTCCGTCTCTCTTCTAGGTGGTGGGAACTCCATGCTACATCTCCCCGGAGCTCTGCGAAGGGAAGCCATACAACCAGAAGAGTGATATCTGGGCTTTAGGCTGTGTGCTGTATGAGCTTGCCAGCCTCAAGAGGGCTTTTGAAGCTGCGGTAAGAGGGATATAGTTTATCTAAGACACAGGAGATTGGGGTTTCTTGCGGATGTGAAAACCTGTGCTTGGATTATGGTTCTCACCGAGCCCGAAGGTGTGAAGGCGGAGGGCAGTGCTGGGAACATCTTGCTCTGTGGTCTCACCTTGGCCACCCACTGTACGTCTGTCTTGTTTTCTCTCTAGAATCTCCCTGCCTTGGTATTGAAGATCATGAGCGGGACGTTTGCCCCGATATCGGATAGATACAGCCCCGACCTGCGCCAGCTCATCCTCAGCATGCTGAACCTGGATCCCTCCAAGCGGCCCCAGCTGAATGAGATCATGGCCCAGGCCATCTGTATTCGGCCCCTTCTGAACCTCTACACTGATGTGGGCAGTGTCAAAATGAGAAGGCAAGTGCAGTGCCCTCTCTGAGGAGGCTTAAAGAACTTACTAAGGCAATTCTGCGGGAATTCGGCGGGATATCCAGCTGTAACTTGTGCTGTAGCTCTGCCTGGCCCCTCTGCAATCCCTCTGTGCGTGACCTGCAGGGCTGAGCTGACAGTAAGGGCTGCCTTTTGTTTTGGCAGGCCCGAGAAACCCTTGGCTCCGGTGCCAACGGTGACCCACAGCCGGACAGAGGGACGAGTGAGCAGTGCCAGGCCAAGGGGTGAGTCTTGGCACAGCACATTTGGCAAATGTCTGCTTGGAAAAAGCCTTTCTTTAGGATGTCGGGGAGTCTCGAAGGCATTCAAGCTCCTGGAGGGAGGAAGTTATGGAGAAGTCACCTTCCCCAAGCCCCAGCAGCCCCTTGGCAGCTCTCTGAGCTGTGCTGGCCCTCCTTGCTGGTATCCAGCTGTGCTGGTACCCAAGCTGGGTGGTGTGTGTGTTGTTTTTCATCCTGAGGGAGGAGAATCAGGGAGCCAGGATCCTGATTTCTCTTTGACCAACAGGTGTTCGCGGTGGCTCAGCCAGGACTGGAATTCCTCCTCCTCTGTCATCCATCTACACCTGGGGGAGCGGGATCACCACCCCGCTCCGCCTGCCCATGCTGAACACCGAAGTGGTGCAGGTGTCTGCTGGCAGGACCCAAAAGGCTGGTGTCACCAAATCGGGGCGCCTCATCATGTGGGAGGTGAGCAATCACAGAATCCTTGAGGACAGAGAGGATCTTTGGAGATCATCTAGTCCAACCCCCCTGCACACGTAGGGTCACCTAGAGCATGTGGCACAGACTGTGTCCAAGCGGGTTTTGAAGATCTCCAGAGAAGGAGACTCCACAACCTCCCTGGGCAGCCTGTTCCGGGCTTTCTGTCACCCTCACTGTCCAGAAATTTTCCTTAAGTTCCTGTTGAACTTTTGGTGCCTCAGTTTGTGCCTGTTTCCTCTGTCTCTTTTGGTGGCCACCACTGGGGAAAACAAAACGGGCCGGGCAGTGCGAGAGGAAGGTTTGCAAGTGTGATTCCTGGGAAAGGGAGACTTCTACTTACTGCATTGGCTGCAGTGCTGCATCCCACCAGACCACAGCCCAGCCCAGGGTGCAGCTGATGCCGCTGAGCCTGCGGGAAGGGCCTAACCTTAGCTCTCCCACCCTGATCTTGCTGCGTCGAGGTGCAGTAGCCCATATTGCCCCTGTTTACCAGGCTCCCCCGATGGGTGCTGCCGGAGGCCCTTCTCTCCCAGGAGCTACCGAGCAGCTTCAGCCTCAGTTTGTGTCGCGTTTTCTGGAGGGCCAGTCTGGTGTGACCATCAAACACGTGTCCTGTGGTGACCTGTTCACGGCCTGCCTCACGGGTAAGTTGCTGCTGCTGCGGGTCTGCAGCCAGCTGGGTCCCCAAACTACTTGGGTTAGTGGCTGGCTTACAAGTGCAGTGTGACTGCTGGAGGGTGCCTGCTCAGAGAGTGACCTGGGCGATGCACTGGGCTGCAATGCAACAAAGGCACCCATGACCTGTCACGTAACAGCAGGTAGGTACAGTCCTCCCATAATGTCCCACGGATCAGCTTAGTCCCAAATATGTCTGGTATGGAGAAGACCTCGATTCTCCTCTGTTTTCCTGTGAGCACTGGTGTCACTTGGTGCCAGAACTTGTCTGTACAGTAGGAGGAGCAGCCAGGACACCCAACGCAGCTGGCCTTGCTATGACTGCAGGTAGCTGGGGATCACCCTCCCCAGGCACAAACATGTCACTCATGGTGACATGTTGCAATGAGAAGCCAACAGCTCCGTTCAGTTGTCCTCTGCCATGGAAAGTCAGCGTTTGAAGTCTTTAAAGCAGGTCAGGAGGCAGCCTGTCTGGGAGGGGAGTGTGCACACCAGCCCAAGGCCATGTTTGTAGAGCAAAG